ATTGATCAATTGAATTAAAATGCAAATTTTAATCTTTTAACTGAAAGTATATTGTAAAATCATATCAATAAAATGATAATACCATTTATTGTCTATGTTTTTATCATTGAAAAATTACTTGGTTTTGAATATATTATTCAATGAAATCATCCATATTTCAATGATAATTACCAATTAACAAAAAGGTAAATTTTACAAATAATTTTTGGATGACCGGGTGAAAGGTTAAATGTCTTTGAAGTATATCCAAACAAAACGAATGATGCATATGTCTTCCTTTTTTTTTTTTTTCTTCATATTCCATTGCGGTCATTTGAAGGTCAACAATTCCTCATATTTTCACTCAATAACATCAAAATTACTCGATTATTTTGAGTTTTCCATATTATTTTTCGTCACCTTTGTTGCGTTACTTTTTTTTTTTTTTTCAATTAATAAAACCATTCAAAAAATTATATTTCACTTCATGTGTGACTTTCCACATTTTAACTTATTGATGCCAACTGACCGAACAATTAAATGGAAAATTAAATTAGCATTGAAATGCTAATCTATTCAAACTGAATGAAAATTACGGTAAATTTCATATGAAATATTAAATAGCAAAACTGATAATAGAAGGATCAATAATAATAAATGATAGCTAATAGCAAAATTAATAACTGATAGCTGATAACAAAAATTAATAACTGGTAGATAGCAAAACGATAGCAAAACGGAAATGTTTATTGAAAATTGATTAAACTGATAATATTTGAAAGTAAAATGAATGATAATTTCAAACTTCATCAAAATTTTGACTAAAAAGAAGGAAATAAAATTACTAACAGTTTTGATCGAACAAAATTATCATATATTACGATAAGTTTAAAAGGAAAAGAGAAACAGAAAGAAAGCTATGATAAATAAATATAAACTGTTAAAAATTTAATACCATTTTAAGGGAATGATCGATCTCTTTCGTTAAAATTCAATTAAAAAATAATGATTTAATTATTGTACAAATATCGTACATGCTGTTGTCATCAATATTTAAAAGAAAAAAAAAAGTATGTCAATGAAAAAAAAAAAATTAGGTTTATACAGACAGACACATAAATTCAATTTAAATTGTGATTTTAAAAATGAAGATATTGAAAAATAGCAAATGTTTTTCGGTAAATCGAAAGAATTTCATGTTAACAAAGTGAATGGGGAAGATCGAAAATTAGCAAATGTTTTTCGGGAAGCCGCAAGAATTTCATGTTAATAAAGTAAACGGGGAGGATTGAAATTTAGCAAATATTTTGGGTAAACTGAATTAAAAGTGAATGGGGAAGATCGAAAATTAGCAAATGTTTTTCGGGAAGCCGCAAGAATTTCATGTTAATAAAGTGAGAGAGAGAGGGAGAGGAATGTGGGATGATATTAATTTCAGGATTTATCAAAATAGCAAAAGAAAAAAAAAATTCGAGGGATAGAGTTGAAATAAATGCATATTAACACATATTTTATCATGTAAAATTAGGAAAAAAACAAAATGAGGGAGCGAGAAAAGAGGAGGAAAAGAAGGAGGAAGAGGAGGAGGAACAGGAGGAAGAGGAGGAGGAGGTGGAAGAGGGAGAAGGAAGAGGGAGAGGATTAAGAGAGGGAGAAAGGAAAAGGAAAAAGAAAGGATCGAAAATTCTTTTAAACAAAAAAAATTTTAGCTAATTTTATTGTATCAAACGAATAAATAATATCAACGATACAGGCAAATTTATATGTTAGTTGGCATGAGGAGAAGGAGAAAAATGATAATGATGATAATTAAAACGGTAATTATGATGATGACGATGATAATAATTGATGATGATATTAGTAATGATAACAATGATGATGAAAAATTCAAATGAACAGATTAAAATGTGAGAAATTTTTTGAGTAATAACGAAAATAGAAAAAAAAAAATGGTAGAATAATGATGATATGAATTAACAGTATTTGATCATTTCGTATGATAAATGTTAATTAATGAAAATTTAATTTGCATCATTCATTGATAACGATCCATTAACAATTGATGTTACTGATAATAAATTTATGTCAATGAAATTTGTCAACGATTCCAAATTTGTTTAAAAAAAAAAAATTTCGAATATTTACATTTATTATCATTAGCTATATCATTGAAATTATCAAAATTTAATTTTAAAAATCTTAAGATTAATCAATTTTTATGAATGTTATGATTTATCAGATAACAATTAAATCAAATAAATATTATTTACAAAAAAAAAATTATTAAAAAATGATAGCAAAAGTTTGAATTTTACAGCTAAAATTTTTTTACTTTTTTTCTTTCTCCTATTTTTCAATTAATAAAACAAAAGAAAAAGGAAAGAAAACAAAATTAAATTTTAATGAAACCAAATTTCATCCTATAAATTTGACAATAAAATTAAATGATAAATAAAAATTTACAATTAATTATCAGTGCAAATCTAAGTTTAACCATAAATTAAATGATCGATGGAAAAGTTATGTTGAATTTTAAACTTTAGTAAATGTCATAAACAAGATAATAAAAAAAATTTAAACAAATAATTGTGCTAGTTTTTGTCTATTTCTTGTTTTCTTTTTTCCTTCTCGTATTAATTGGATTAATTAAAGTTAAGTTAACCTTATGTAAAATCAATTATGTCAAAATGATAAGATGAAGAATTAAGCAAAAAAAAAAAGTGATAAGAGATAAGATGATATGCAAAGAATAAAAAAAAAAAATTGAATAATTGAGAAATATCATAAAAGAAAACGATAACAATGAGTAAAATAATGGTACTATTTCAATATTTTTAATCTTCTCTTATCTAATGGTACCAAAAAAAAAAATAAGATAAGAGATAAGATATTTATGGAAACGATTAACATGATATAGTGGCGGGTGGGAGGGGGGAAGAAGAAAAAAGTAGGAGAACCTTGTAAACGGAAAGCGGGGGAAAAAGGATGAATGATAGAGTTGCGGGGGAAGGAATGTTGGACATGATTGGATTGTCCTCCAAATCAACCTACACTATCTTCTCATACTTATCATTCACCTCCTCCTCATCCTCCTCCTCCTCCTTCTCCTCCTCTTCCTCCTCCTCTTCTTCCCTTTGTATTACTTTTGTCAGTTAAATGA